GTCTAGGTAATATTGATTCAAAAATCCTTTGTTGCACACAATTAAAGCTAGCGTTGAGCTTTTCCCTTTGTAAATGACAGAAAGGTGAGCAACGTGATATATCGCACAAAAACTCCTCTTTCAAGGAGCTGTAGTTAATGGATGAAATTTTGAAATATTCTTTGCTGTGTTACACCAGCGATGCATCTTGGTGGAATGAACAAAAAAAATCATACCCCAGATCTCGTAACTAACCGTATCTTTGCTGCCCAACATCCTTTGTGCTTCGCGGTAACTGACATTGTGAAACTGCGGGTGCACGATCTGCCGATGGGTGAAGTTGGCTTCAGCCTGCAACAAATTCAACATTCATTGTAGTAAATATTCAACAAAAGCATTACCTTATGTATCTTTGTCGTACGATCCTTCTCCAAATCTTCTTTCTCAGCTTCATAGTCCCAGAACTTATCATGCTCAGTAGCAGGCTCCTTATTGAGATCGGAAGATCGGCATGACAAAAGACAAGAAAACTTTTCTGGCTCAATTTTGATGATGCGGCAATATATTGGCTGGTTCATCTGTAAAATGATCTCTATAAGAGACAGTCTGAATTGATGACTAACGAACCTTTACTCGTTCCAAAGGATTCTTGAAAGATTCAGGTCTGTCGGATATCATTTTGTTCGGAATGAAACCGCTGATACCATTATCGAGCTTAACACGAATGCCAACAGGAATACCGGGACACCCGCCTTTTCGCGCATCCTGTAACAAGTTAGATATAGTTATGTTCTTTGAGCAAATTTTAAAACTTACTCTAATCTGCAGATGTTCGTAAAGTCTATTTGAGATGATTGGCATTCTGCAGAAAGAGCATTCCCAATATTCAGACTCTTGGATGCGTTGCTAAATAAAGAAGATATTTTAAAAAGTATTGATCCTCAAGGTAAAGCTCACCATATGTTCATGACCAGAAATATATGATTGTCTTTGCTCTTCCGGAATCTTCTTGAACTGAACTCCTGTAACAACACCGCATACTCTTTTCTCTTCCTCCAATGTTGCTTTCGATTCTTTTGTTAGAAGTGTGAACAACTCCTGAACAAACGATTATAAGAAAACGCATGTCATAACAGAGCATGTCAAAGCCACAAACCTGATCGCTTAGTGGTATGAATGGCCTGCGCTGGTCCTTATACCTATGATTCAACTCGGCTGATATATCGTAGAGGGTGGCTTTCTTCTCACCGAAGCCCTGAAACGAAGTTCACTAGCTCTGTACTCTCAAGAAGAACAAAGTGCAGAAAATTCTTAGAAGTTCGTTAAAGCAAGAATGCAAGCAAATAGCAAAAAATAGAAAATGTGCATCTTCAAAGGGAAGAAAATACCTGTCTCTTCAATTCCTCAGCGAATGCATCAAGGTCAAGATCCTTCAGACGATCTGGGGCTTGCAAAATCTCTTCTAAAGCGGTGGTAGGATCTGCTGAATCATCCACCTGCAAATGAAAATGGATAACATGCACAAGGCTAAATAAGCAAGAACTGTGCATACCTCCAGTGCGTCAACAGCCATCTTTCTTGCCCACTCGTAAGTCTCAGGATGTACACGAGATCCATCTAACACTTCCACATATGCGTCTGTTTTCTCAGCAACCTAGGGGTGCAAGAAGATAACCGACCTTCACCTAATCTAGAAAACGCTAACTCACCCTAGTTGTATCAATCTTGATGAATCCCGCGCAGTTCATGAAAACTTTTGGTCCCATGCGACAAAGCGTCACAAGTTTTGTACGACTTTCCAGCAGATGATCATGCTGCTTGAGCATTTTCAGAAGATGAGTCGCTTTGCGTGGTCCAAGTCCACAAACAAACTGGAGGATATTCGCAGTATGTGGATGTTCCAGACACCTTCAAACAGAGATCATATTCCAAAAATAAAAATAAAAAAGACCATTGCAAACTTACCGATTTACATCGACTCCCACTTCATTGACCCGATTAATGAGTTCTCGAGCAAGCACATTACTCAGTTCTTCCTAAATTTCGAGATCACTGCAGTTTCCATACAGTAATAGATTTCTTACCTTGCTTATTTCACTTTGCAGAGGATGGAAGCCGAGGCAGAAGATATCTTCATCAGCATTCCACAGATGTGCGTACTCCCATAATGGGTCCAGCATGAGCCGCGCTAGCGAAATGGCTTGGAGGAGTGTTGGTGGATAACCGGAATGTTCAGTCTAAAGATATGAGTTTAAAAGTTGTAGCCTAGCGTACACTGTGAACCACAAAATTGGATTGAATGAGAAAATACAAGGCAGATTCTGCTTAAATAAGACCTTACCATGGCACTTTTCGACAGCATGTACACTTTTGCTGCTTCATTGTCCATGATATATACGGGAGGCGCTCTAGTGAGCTCACTCTCGGCTACCATACTATTCAGACATTCTTCTATGTCTCTGCGGAGACGGATGGCATCAAGGTTTTCTCCGCACAGAGCTATCACATGAGGACGTCGACGCTCCACGAATTTTTTGAAAAAGGCCATAGACTCGGACTGCAATCACGGTGATTCTCCGACGGCAACTCAGTCAAATTAACTTGATACCTTTAACTGCGCTTGAGGACCGAATCCTCCTCGCTTGGTGAAGTGTACCATTCTGCAGTAGTCTATGACAGCACCATCTTGATCCACTAACACACCAAAAGAAGCCTCATCCATGTCGGTTGGGTAGGCAATTCCCATAACCCGTACTTCTCCCTATACGATAGTTGTAAGGAAAAATCAAAAAAAACGTACAAAAAAAAACAGGAAAACCACCAACTTGTCGACTAAAATCTTCGTCCTCATCTTCCATTTGCTCTTCAGATGGATGGAAAGCTGCTGGCTCTAACCGGGCGTACATAGCTCTGCCACATTTCTAAAAAGGAAGAAACTATAGTTGCAGACAGAGGCATACTGATAATCTTCAAACCCACATATAGCACACTATTTTTAGCTTCGTCTATGAGCTTTTGCTCCATTTCGCCTTCCAAGTACGGGAGGAGCATTTCATCGATAGCCATTCTTGTAGCTTTCTCGCGGATGGAGTTCCACTCTTCTACTATTTCAGAGTATTCGTCCTAACACCATACTTACGTAGCCCGTGATAGAGATTTGAGAAATCAAATCCGCGGAATGCGGAACTTACCACCCGATAGGGTTGCTCAGTGAGAACAGCATCTGATAAAACTCGCACTACCTCGTCGTTGGGAGTGTGCTTCTCAAACACAAACTTCACGTCAAGATGTTCAGCTTTCTTAGCTTGATGAAGGTATAAGAACTCCTCTTCTTCAAGCAAAGAAACAGGTTTTCCTTTGATGTACCTAGAGCCAGGTAATTAAGGTAGAGCAAACAAATTCCGTCAACAAATTATTACCTGTTCTTCCACACAGGGCTAGTTTCATCCAGATGTTCACGTCCTTTCTGCGTTGGTCGCACATATAGCTTTGCGTGCTCTCGATACGTTTGACGTATTCTCTCACGAGCCTAAAACGTGTAAGATGATTACAGGCTGATTACAAGAGTGAGGAAGGGTGATTTGACACTGACCGCAGGTTCGCGACTGAGCTCTCTGGCCATCATATAGATAGCACCAGCAATCACAGCTTCAGGAGTTGGGAAGGAAGAGTTGGTGTAGTCAGCAGCGGCAACTTTTGGGGCGACCTAGGACATTGAGAATCGAAGTAATGGTAGGAGAAAGTAAGGGAGAGTAAGAACAAAAACTAAATTGAGAAGTTAGATTAGAATGTAAGCAAAAGAAGAACTTACTGGATCCTGTTCTACGTCATGCTTTTTCCAGTCCAAGTTTTCCGCAAGCTGTCGAGCAGTAATTCCAAAACGTGACACCATGCCTCCAATGCCGTTATCAACGCACAACTAAAATCTTACACCACTGTAAAGAATCTGGATCTTACTATAAGCAACGACAACAAGGCAAAACAATCGCAAAATGCGAGAGAAAATCCAAGATCAGAAAACTACAGCTTCAAAATATGGACTCCGATTTAAACACAATGGTGAATATTCATTCCACGAGCCTATTAGGATATATGGAAGGCGTCAAATTCTCGAGCATTTTCAGCACTTTCTCATGTGAGTTTATTGAATATAAAGGATATATAGGGATGGTGAATTACCTGATAGCTATCATTCCTTGTGCTTTGTCTGAATCTCGAGCCATGAACATTGGTACCATCGCCTCCTTCATCGATGTCCTCAACAAGTAATATTCGTAAAAACAACGGCATAACCGCACTCAAGCTACTACCTTCTGCGCAGCCTCCCAGTCCAGCATTCGGTTCACTTCTGCTCCATAATACAAATGGAACTGCGCTGATAGATCGCTTACAGCATCTATGGAATCAGCATTCTGTACTCTGAAAAAAAAAACAGTGAAGACATGTTCTGAACGTAAGGGTCATAGCGAAATTACTCGATTATGTCGACATCTGAGATGGTACGACGAAAATTTTGCATTGATTCAGTCTGATAATACTGCATTCGTTTCATCAATTCGACTAGCTGGAATGTTCACTATAGGACCTAGCGCTGATCAAGGATAGCTCACCTTCTTTTTTCTATGCTGTAAATGGCACCATTTCTCGTCCCATTCGTATACTTTCCAAAGGTCATTAATTGGAAGCACAGTGCTCACCAATTCTTTTCGATAAAAAGCAATGAACGGGACCTTAAAAATATTAAGATGAACCTCAGGGCTGCTTAATACTACCGCATTACCTCAAACAATTGATTCCGCATAAACTTCAAAGCTTCTTTTATGGTCTCTCTCGCTTCATCCTCACATTGCGACCTATCGTTTCCTCGATAGTCGGCCACATACGCCAAAAGATTTGACTTCTGGAGAAATGCGGTACAATTTTTACTGGTGGTTCAAGACCGAAATTCATACTTGAGTTGAGATGGACGTTGAGCAGAAAGCATGGTAGTAGATCCATTTTGACTCCTGCTCTAACTCCATATCATCAGCTTCAGTGACTGGAGATTTCCGCAGTTGGAATCTGCATCAAATACCTCCGTTTTGAGAAGAATACGAGCATGCATTTGACCACCTTTCAGGTTTATCCTCAAGTTGGATCTTCTTGTCAGCTGGGGCCATGAACCCTCGTTCTAGTTCCGATGGTTCCATAGTATCCAGAAGAGTGCTAGTTTTCTCTTTCGCCCGCACTCGTCGTATCTCAAATTATGAAATAAAGTCTACGAAGAGCTTTTTATACATATTTGCATACCCTTCCTTCGCCTTCTCCCTCATCATCCATGAGATCTTCTTGGTCTTCATCATCCTCTTCGATCGGCTCTTCATCTTCATCGTAAAATTCATCAAAATTGAAGTCCTCAACACCAAATACATCGCGAGCTTCATCCAAGGCACTAAACAGGACGCACTTGGGTTATCAAATGATGTTTATAGCCTAGAAGTGAAAGATGATGGGTTAGCTTACCCTTCAGGCATATTTCCGTCCCTTCGCCTGTGATGCCGATGGCCATGTCGGCCGCCATCTTCATTGACAATGAAGTTATCCTCTAAAAATAAGATTTGACGGATTGCATCAATTCGTCACAGAAAAAGCAACATTCGATTTACTCCAAAAAGTTATTGTCAAAGCCCGATAGAAATACTAGAAAATATATCTAATTATGTGACACACTTGGAAAAAAGAATATACAGGCATGATGTGAGTGACTGGGGAGCAATCGATAAGAAAATTCTATGAATGAAACTGACCGCTTTGCTCCGAATCTGAATACCGTTCCCTATCAGAATCTTCGCCGCTTAGATCTCCTCTTCGTGGGCTTGAAGGGCCTTCTCCATCATCTCCCTGATCTCACTCTGATCAAAGACCAAAAAGGACACATCTAAAAGCGCAAACCTCGCCAAACAGCTTCTTCTGAATAGCTGTTCGATCATCAACATCTTCATCAGAATCTTCTGGTTGTATAATTCGCTGCTTTTTCTCTTTTCTGTTCCCCAGATTTTCCTAAACGCCCTTTTTCGTTCCACTGGACCAAAAACTTGTATTATCCTACTTGTATCAAATCTATATCATCGTCATCCAGCTCGTCCTCTTCATCTTCAAGTTTTTCTGACTTTTCTGATTTGTCGTCATCAGCATCCTCCTAGAAATTTGGGCTTGAATCATCCACAGAATAACCTCTTCACTATACAAACCTCTTCTTCCTCTTCATCAGCAATGAATCCTTTCATCTCCTCAGCACCTTGCTCGTCATCGTCCTCTTCTTCATCTTCATCACTAAATTACATTAATGATAAGAGAACGCATAAAGATGATATCTTGGCAGGAAGCAAACTACTAAAAATGTTATTTACAAAAGAAGTTCGATAGTTAGTTGATACGAAAACTTGGAAATTTCCAAAAAGGAAAACAGAGTATGTGCTAAGGTGCGCAAGACTGACAAGGAAAGGAGGGTTGGTCGAAGTGGCCTTTGAAATGAATGTACATCGTCTTATAGAGTTTGGAACGCTCATTCCAAATCTGCCTTTGCAATCTGCTGCAGGCTTGTGGGTGAGGAGTTATGAAGATTTTTGTGAGTGAAAAGTCAGCCGGAAAATTAGTGTTGAATCAATCGTAACATCTTTTCTAGGGCTTAACTGACAGTCAATTCACTCACTGCAATAAATATTCCTAATTCAAATACACCAACTCGCTGCTGCATCATCTGAACGCTAGATAGAGGTTACGACTGATATTACACTAGTCTTGCATTTAACTTTTTACTCACAAAAACC